TGTTGCAACCCGAAGGCTGGCTTGTCCTCTGTGGTTTTTCTCTCTTACACTCTAACATTCTTAATTACCATCATACTGCAAGAGCTTTCAGCAACTATCTGATGTGTTTTCTATTTCCAATAAACATTCTAATTTTTTAATGAATGTGATTAAGAACCCTCAATGGGGGGACTCTGTTCTCCCCTGTATCATAGTGGGTACACAATGATTAGTGTTTGCTAAATGAACCATTTATAAAATGATTACAGCAGTGATTCCTGAAACAATGAAATGGAAATAAAAGGACATCATGCCTTAACAAAAGTTCAGTTCTTGAAGAGATAAAAATAATGAATAAAATCTGTGCTCTTTTCACTGCAATTATTCATGGAGCCTTTGGGAGAGTAGACCATTAAAAATTTAGAAGAATTGTTATGTTCAGAACCAAAGTCCTCATTTCCCTTGCATGCCAGTCTCAACCATCCATTCTCAATAGGCTAGTTAAACATGCAAGTAATCAGGAAAAGCCGAAAAAAGATCTATTCAATAAAACCACATTGTGCAGAGAAAGCCAAAGACTAGCCTGAAAAAAACCTAGGCGCCATGAGGCCACCTGATAGGAATGCCTGACAGGAAGTCAAGCATTGAGAAACTAGCTTATCAGAAAAACAGGACGTAGTGGTCAAGCCATCTGCATCTGGCAATCCCCGGGGCTCGATACCAGGAAATCAGGAGAAAAACCTCTGTGTCCCTGAGGTCACCTCCCATTTAGCAATCCCACTTCCCCTTAGCCCCGACCCTTACCCCATATTTCTGTGTGCTTTCAAAATTACTCTGTGTGTTTTTGAATTAACCAATAACCGCACTTCTGCTTCTGTACCCTGCTTCTGCTCTATAAAAGTGCCAAACCCCAGCCTGTAGGCGCGCAAGTCCTCCGAGGAGACTTTGTGCCCACAGGTACCTGTGTACTAAATAAACCTCTTGCTGTTGCAACCCGAAGGCTGACTTGTCCTCAGTGGTCTCACTCTTACATTTGGAGGTCTCTTACAGCCAATGTCCTTTTTCTGGGCCCTAACATGAAGTGTAGTCTTAAACAGAGGTCAATATGAATTCACGACTGGGCATTGCTAGTCAAGTAGTGGTCTGTCAGTGAAATTCCAGAAAAGATAAACTGAGGTGGGAAAACTCACCCTTCATGAGGATGGCAACATACATTAGACTCAGTCTCAACCTGGCTTTAAAGGAAAAATTTCCTAAGCACTAATATTGTTCTAAATTTGCTTTCTAACTGGAGAAGCAATGTGACTGGCTCCCTCATGCTCCTACTAGCATAGGTAGAGCCCCTCTCACCACCATTTCTTCCTCACCACAGTGGATTATAACCTTAAACTATGAACTAATAAATATGAATTCTTCCTTTTTTATTTGCTTTTGTCAGTTATTTTGTTACAGCAATGAAAAAGTAAATGAAATAGAAAATTGTTACTAAAGAGTAGGGCCCTTACTGTGAGAAAACAGGGATACAGAACTGATTTGTATCTTGGGATACAGAACTGATTTGTAGTAAGAATGTAGAAGAATTTGGGACTGCCAACAACAGAAGCCATAGAATTTTTAAACAGAGATTAAAGGATTTCTTTTTGGGAGTTTCAAAGATCAAAATACCTAGAGAAAAACAGGGCGGGGAGGCCTGGCTCATGAAGTTTCAGAAGATAAAAAAATTCTTTTATTAACTAGAATGCAAGCCATTGGTGTTACATTATAGCCGAGAATACTGGTGCATTCTGTCTATGTCCTGAAGACGATCAGGTTGAATTAAGAAATAATACACTCATGTAACTTCCAAAGGAAATATCAAAATGTCCTGAGTGGGGCAGTTACTTGACAGTAACTGTCCTAGTGTGACATCCAGAGTGTGTCACTGCTTCTTGGGAGAGCTTAGGACAGGCACATATGGAACAGAAGAGATTCTCTACACAACTGATTGGTTGCAATATGTATTTATCATACAGTTAAAGCATAACAATACACATCAACACAAACCCTCAAGGGGAAACCCGGTCCTCTAGCAATTCAGAGTCCCAAAGTCTCAAGGGAATACCTTCCAGAGGTTAGTCCTTCCAGTACTCCCTGTGGAGTCACTCAGCGTCCACCATGATCACTGCACTCTCCCGGCTGGAGCTGTCAGTTTGCAGGCTCTGATCACATCTGGTCATGGCAAGCTCTCTCCAATCCTAAAGCAGACCAGAGTTCTGCTGGAGTTCTTGATCTGGTTTCACACAGAATTTCGGCCTGGACTTGGGCAGAATTTTGGTCTCTTGGGTGATACGTCGGGATGAGGCCCACAGGGTCAGTGGCTCATGTACCCAAGCATCGAAGAAGTCCTCGAGCTGTCAGTTTTTGTATGTTTCTTTTTTGGCTGGAGTCCTTCTGACTTATGTCAGTAACTTTAGCTGTTTCTTGAGATATGGCTTCTCCCATAGGATTACTTATCTATCACACACAGGCATTTGAGCTACTAAGTTTCGACTCTCAAGTCCCCATCTGCTCCACACAGTTTCACATAATTCCTGTGTGAAGTGATAAGTGAGCCTGAGAAGCCGAGAAGTTACTAGTTTCTAGTTTCATTTCAAAGTCACTCTTAATATACATCTTAATTTATTCTTAATTTCCTAATACATTCAGTACACAAAATGTACACGATTCCTGCTGTGGTATGTTATTACTTTCTGTTCCCATCCAAGCCTACAGTAAGACAGAGCAACAAGTAGGTCAAAGATAAGGAAATAGACATTTTGGTCAGAAGAGAAGTGAAAGCAAATTTAAAACTGTCCCCCTCTGGGTGGTAGCCCAGAGAACAGGTAGGGGAATGATATGGCACAATTAGGGGAAGCTCACCACCATGTGAAGGCAGGATGGGAGAAGGGGCTGTCAGGCTGTCCCCTGGGTTGTCAGGGCCTCTGGTAGTTGGAGGCCAGAGGAAGGCCAGAACCCGACACTCTCTGGTGGTCTGCTGAGCTCCAAGCCCCTACCCTGATCAGGTCTTGAGGTTTTATAGCCCAATCCCACTTCCTGACTCTGCTTCCTGACAGTGGATGCAATGTGACTGTAATGGTCCCAAATGGAGGCCCCCAAATTGTAATAGCCAAAGTAACTTCATTTTATATAAAGCAGCCACTTTAAGCTTCAAAACCTAGAGAAATAGCCAGCTCCAATGTTAAGCACCTGAACTTAGTTGCTTCCCCTAAGAAGAGTGCTTTCTTGGGAGTAACTGACCTTGATCACCCCGCATACACTGCAGCTGTGCTTCTTGCCTAGCCAAGACACCTAAATAACAATAGTAATCAGAAAGTGCCTTACTGTCAAGGTCTCTATACGTCTGTTAAGAGAAGAACTAACAAACTTGTTCTGGCTTCTGTAGTTTGCTTATCTGCTAACTACCTGCTAACTTGGGTCATCCTCATCCTACTCAGGATCACCTGGCATTACGGATATGTGATGAAATTCAAATGTTTGGTCTTTACCTTTATAAGGTACTTTCACCCTTCCCTACAGACCATGGTTGTTGAATCTGACTTAGAGACCATGAATGGCTATAATCGTGATAAATTTGTCCAATTAAAATTTGAATTGGGTCTGGTGATCTTTTCCCAGTTGTTTCAAACTCCATAATACAGGAGTACCAGGTAGGAACAGTATGACTGCTTTCCTCAGGCTGTGGGATCTGGCCTCTTAGAAAGAGCAGCTTCTTAAAGAGCAGGCCTGGGTCCTGAAACAATCTCTAATGTACCTGAGTGGGAAATTCAGATGCCCGGGGAACACGGAATTCTAGGTTCAACACTAATATCACCTATGGTGGGCTGGGTGCCTTTCTAGATCAGAGGCAAGAGGACAATGATACAAGAATTTAATGTGTCATTGACTGTGTGGCCCTATGTCCAGAAGGAAAATTAGGACGTGTGTAGGGAGTTGCTGAAGACCACAGTAGCGGTTCTGAGAGGCCGGGAGCAAGTTGTGCTTGGATGCCAGTCTCTATGGAGTTGAGCAGATTCTGTGCCAGGAGGGAGAGGAAGCCAGGTCTAGGAAGACATGTGCTTCTCCCCCATTTTAGACCCTCCTTTCACTTAGGCAGCAGGGGTGTGGTACCAATGAGCACTTCCTGTAATGCTCCCCAATCAGGAGCACTGAAGGGAGGTGGAAGGCGGGATAAATGCAGGTGCCAGGTCCTGGGTTCCACACTGCCGGTTCCGGTCTATGGCTGAAGTTAGGGTTCTGTAGGCCGCTGAGGAGAGCGTGGCCACAGTGAGCGTGGGGCCGGCTGTGTGAATAGTGAACAGGACAGGTTCTCTCAGGACGTACAGCTCCATATAGAGCAGCTCTCTTTGCTGCTTTATCAGCCAATCTATAACTCTTTGCTTCTTCAGTGTTTCTTTTACAATGTCCTGGGATTTTAACGATGGCTGATTGTTTAGGCAAGTGAAGAGAACCCAACAATTCTAAGATTTACTAAATATTTTAAATAGGCTCACAATATAAGTCCCCACATGGCAGGAATGTAGCTGTGGGATGGGTTGTTTTTCATGCTGGCAAGGTTTAGCTTGGGCCCAGGATTTCCTCACTATGTCTTCTGTCAAAATGTTAATTTTCTGAAGCCTCAAGTGGAAGAAAGTCAAGAGTGAGCATGTCCAGTCATGCAGACAGGATGCAAGATTCACTACTGGGAACAGTATTGGCAGGTTGGACCTAAGAATTTACATATGGATCTTAAAACTAATTCAAAATTATAATTTGTTTTTAAAAATTCAGGTGCTAGATAAATGGCTTAGTATTTAAAAGCCCATGCTGTTCTTGCAGAAAACCAGACCTTGCTTACTTTTAACAACATCACATAGCTCACAACCACCTGGAATTACCCCTCCTGGGAGATCTGACACATTCATACGCAAGTACCCATACACAGACATGCACACACAGATAAGTAAAATCGTTTAAATATAATGAAATTTTTAAATGCTGTGGCTATAAAGCTTTTCCACACAGCATTGTTTTACAAATATTATGAAAATCTCCTGCTCCAAAAAACAAATCCTGAATCATCAATTCTACTTGTTCTGAAATAAGCCATACAGAACAAAACGGAAATTACCTCTCAACCAAAGGCCACAGAAATAAGGAAAACAAGAGACAGAAGAGAAAACACTGTTTAATTAGAGGTCCAACATGTCATAACCTGTAAATACAGCATAAGCCACCTCAAAGCAATTTATTAAGGGAAAGTGATGGAGACTTCTGATAGGAAGGAAAAGTTCCCACATGAAATCATCTGACCAAAGGCAAAAAGTTACCAAAATATGGAACCATGGGGACACACTGCTTGTCTTCTAATTTCAGTAAATTGCTGGTGATTTCAAAAGCTAGCTGGACCTTGATAGTCTTCAGACTACATAACCAGAATACTACAAACTGTGCTGCCCATCACCACACAGACGAATGAGCAAGGAAGGAACTGGATCCTCACTTTGAGCTTTATTCAGAAGACAGGAAGTAAGAAATGGCAGTGAGTTTAACACCATGGAAATATATACTTCCTGTTTTGTGAAATGGTTGAATTTTCAGTCATTGACACTCTAGATTCATTGACTTTCCCATGTGAACTCAGTATCAGTGGCTTGACTGAGGAAGAGAAGTCTTGAACATGTTGGCAGATGGAAGCACTGCCTAGGACTGGACAACTACAGCTAAATTTACAACTGCTTTCTGGAATGACACTGAAGGGAAAATTTCACAGGGGGACAGAAATTTGGCGAGTGCCCACGGTCATAGATTTCCTTGGCTCGTCCAGTGACCATTGTATTTTCAAGTACTCATTGTGTACTGATTCATCTCATTGCCCAAAGGGTTCAGGAACAAAAAGACCATGGTGCAGGAATTGATCCTAGTCATAGGTGAGGTAACGTGGAAACCATTTCCCAAGGCTAACCCGGATACATGTTCTTCTGAATGGTTAGTGAAATTGTTGGAAGATGGGAAATGGCATGATTGAAGAACTGGTTGTGCCCTAGTTTGCTTTTCTGTTGTGATAAAAGACTGACCAAAACCAACTTGGAGGAGAAATGGGTTTGTTTAGTTGCCAGGCTACAGCCCATTGTTAGCCATAGGAGGCCTATCCAGAACTGATGGTAGGAATCTACAGGCAGGAACTGAAGAAGAGATCAATGGAGAAATGCCGCTTGCTAGGTTGCTTTCTATTACTTGCTCAGCCGTGTTTCTTATGTAGCCCAGGCCTATGCCTAGGGATAGCATTGCCCACAGTGAGCTGAACTCTTTCACATTAGTTAGCAATTAAAACAATGCCTAAAGAATGGCCAAAGGCAATTATCATCTTGGAAGTTGTTCGGTTGAGTTTCTCTCTTCCCAAATAACTGTAGGTTTGTGTTAACTAAACAGCAGAAGCACAATATGACAGGTGAGAAGGGGTATGTCGCTAGGCATTGGCAAGCGTGCAAATGATTTTGGTTTAGGTACGTTTCCATTGCTATGACAAAAACCTGACCAGAGTAAATGCAATGGAGGACATGTTTATTTAAGCTTACAATTTGAGCAGCTGCCTCCCCATTTTGACATAAGAAACTGTGTACTGGTCTTACCTCTTCTCCTCCAAAATAATTGTCAAGTGTTTCTAGTGTCCATGACAACATGAAGTGACATAGACACCTCAAGGCTTGCTCTCAGCAACACCAATCTTAAAGGTAGTCTTGAGGTCAAGGTTGGCCAAACCTCAATGTCTGTTCTGAGGGCCAAGTTTTCAAACACATGAGCTCAAGGAAACGTTTTTCATTCAAATCACAGTATTTCAAATGTGGCCTCTGTAGGTTCGTGCTCATCCAATAATGTAAAATGCATGTATTACAACTTCAAAGGGTTCCAGAATCTCTAACATATCCAATGCTGTTCAGAAGTCTGAAGTCTGTTCTGAGATTCAGAGAATCACTTCAAAACAAGTTAAATGCTTCAATGGCACAGACTAAACATTTCCATTCCAAAAGGAAGGAACGATTCATGGGAATGAAATATAAGATTAAAGTGACAATGAAACCCAGTA